TTTTTTTTTTTTTTTTTTTTTTTAATGCTGAGTTACCGTCTCGCTTCTCTGAGATCCAGCAAGCCGAAGATTTCGCTCGATTGCTTCCATTGCTGGCGACGCTAAGGGATTTTTGCATTTTTTGGGGGGGTGAGGGGGGGGGAACTTCGCGTTTCTTTCTTTTCACCCTGGCCTTAAAGAGGATATATTAGGAGTTGAAGTAGGAAGGGAGCAAGCAGGCCGATGGCGCAAAGGGTACGTATTAAAAAAATGGATTTCAAATGTGAAATAATATTGAAACGTGGCTGACAGAGACACTGCGAAAAAGTTTCCTTTTTTTTTTTTGTTTCTTATTTTCTTTTCTTTTTTCTTCCTTTTTTGTTTTGTTTTTCCTCTTCTTTGGAGCAGAGGCACAAAGCGGTGTCCCGGACCGGGAGCATTTATCTGTGGTACTTGTAGGCTTAAAACCTTTGTATATTGGCGTTTTCTTGATTCTGTCAATGCTTATCACGGCCATCTCACCGAGCAGGAGGGACATGCGGGCGTCTGAGAGCATATATGAAACCTCTGCATTTGTCGGGGTTGTAGCTGTGGTGTCCTACCCCTTTGGGGGTTATTTTTGTTTTTGTTTTTGTTTTTTTTTTTGTTAAAAAAAAAAAAGAAAAGAAAAAAGAAAAGAAAAAGAAAAGAAAAGAAAGAAAAAGTGCTTCACTAGTGCTGGAAATATTTTAGTGTGTGCATGTCTCCGAGCGTTTTGCTGTGCTAGTGGTGGTACACTGCTCCGCTTTGGGGAGATAACTTGGAGTTTGGAGTAAGCAGAACTTTCTTTTTTTTTTTCTTTGCTTTGCTTTTTTTTTCATTTCTTTCTGTCTTTTCCTTTTTATTATTTTCCTTTCTATTGTTTTCCCTTTTTATTTTTGCGGTCACGAAAGTGTGGTGTAATGGGCAGAATAGTTAAAAAAAAAAAAAAGAAAAAAGAAAAAAGAAAAAAGAAAAAGGGGGGAAAGAAAAGGAGAGGAAGAGGCTGCTGCGGGGCAGCCCGCGACGCGCGGCGTGCGCTGCCGGGCGCGTAGCTGCGCGGTACTCGCCGGGATGCGGCTCTGCCCCCCCGGCTTCGCTCCACTTTGTATTTGCGCGCGCCGCGGAGCCGGGCGCGGGGCAGAGCCGGAGGGGCCGCGCTCCCCAGTCGCCCCCGGCCCTGCGGGGGGCTCGGGCCCCGCCGCCCCCGCACCTCGCTTGGGGGGCGCCCCGTGTCCGCAGGCCTCGGCTCGCCGAACAAAGCGGGCGCTCGCGAGGGGAAACACGGGCGGCCGCGGCGCGCTGTTCGCGCCGGGCTCGGGGGTGGCCGCTGCCCGCCGGCTCCGCGCGCGGGGCGGCAGCAGGAGGCCGGCGGGGCCGCCCCGCGCTCACGGCCGTGCGCTCTGTGCCCGCAGTACGACGAGCTGCCCCACTACGGCGGCATGGAGGGGGTGGGCATCCCCAGCACCATGTACGGGGACCCCCACGGCGCCCGCCCCATGCAGCCCGTGCACCACCTCAACCACGGCCCGCCGCTCCACTCGCACCAGTACCCGCACGCCGCGCACGCCAACGCCATGGCCCCCGCCATGGGCGCCTCCGTCAACGACGCCCTCAAGAGAGATAAGGATGCCATTTACGGGTAGGTCCGCGCCCGCGCAGCGCCCCTTGCGCGGCCCCCCCTCCCCCCCCGATTAAACACATCCCTAACCGCGCGCAGGGGCTGGCCCGC